TTTTACTATGAGAGAAGTGTTTGGAGGCTACTGTCATTCTCTTATCCCTACTTTGCACTGCTTTTTTCATAAAACTTACTAGGTTAATGACTATATTAACAATATAGTCATAATGACATATTGCATGAAAATGACTCATTAGTCTCCATCAAAATGTAACTAAGACAGAGGTATTAATCAATTTAAACAGGTAAAATGTTCATTCTCAGTTTTGCCTAAATAAAACAGCAGAAATGTTCCTTCGACAATGGAAATGTTTCCTCTTCCAGTATATTTCATTTCAAATGAGCCTACAATTATATTGAAAGCCCTGTTAACATGCTCCTTTTCCATTAGCCTAGGATGAGTAACAATTTGCTAGCTAAGCCACGAGCTTGTTTCTCATGTTTTATTTCTGTGTTATATTTTCCACAAAGACGATGGGCTGAAGAAGCATTTAGGAGTGCCAACCACTTCATTTCCATTGTAACTTAGGTCCCTAGGTCTTTTCCAAAGGGATCAACTGAAATCCAACAATAATTTCTAGCTCTGTCTCAGAATGCATCAGCAAGGGAAGAGAGGGCTATCTCCAAAAATGTTTTAAAAAATACATGTTCATAGATCTACACACACAAAAGAAAGGAAAACAAAGAATAAAAGAAAAAGAAATGAGTAATAAGAAAATGAGCCTTAAAGCAACTCAAAAAGCCTTGTACCTGCTCAATCCAAAAAGCAAAGCTGTTAAGCAGGAACCTGAGAATCATTCTAGCTCCAAATATTCATTTAGCAGCTAAGAGTTCGGGCTCTGCATTATTTGCCCTTGTGCTTTTTGGACTCAGAAGAGTCTATAAGCAGGGTTGTATGTACAGCCTAAACACATTAAGTGAACAAACAACATTAATTGGCTTTGGTATGCTGACACATGTAAGGCAGTCCATACTTACTTTCTGAAGAGGTAGTTCTTGTAGATCAAATTTAGACTTAGTCTGCAAGTTTAAAGTCATGCTTCTGCCTGCATGCATTGCTGAAATACCTCCATAGGGCAGCATGCCAAGGTTAACTGTGTTGTGTTTGTAAGCAGCATTCTGAGTAGAGGAAATAATCATGTGACAGGGTGTGAACACATGCTCAACAAACTGATTATTACATGAACATGTTTAAAATTTATAACATTTAACTTTAAGCGGGCAAACAGTAACTGTCTTTTAAACATGCACTTGATCAGACAGAAGCATACAGTAAACAGTGTTAGTTATGCACATAATGAGTACCATCCAAAACTACAGAAAAGACAAAAAGCAAGGATACATTCTGTTTTACATTTGCTGCTAACTCAAGGGCATAGAACCTATCTCATATATTGTGATCGTAGTGACTTTGGACAAATGTTGTTCGTTTGTGGTAGTCTAATAGTTAAAAAAAAATTCAAACAGTGAGATCTTAATCAAATTTTGCCAGCTCCAAATCTCATGGTCTCTTTCACATTGTGAGATAAACACATACACAAGACAAATATCAGCTTGTAATTCTGCCCTAAAACGAAGGCACTACAATGTTAAAGCCAAAAATCAGTGTCCTTTATTGCTCAGTCTATAGACATAATTACAGCAACTCAGAAAAAGAGCTGGTAAAAAAAAAAAAAAATTAATCAACCTGACTATTGGCTAATTGAATTTACTGATTAATTTAATTAAACCAGTCAAAGAAATTGTATGTGAATCCAAAGTTTCTGACTTTTTTTGTTTCTTAAAAATTACATTTTAAACTGGAGAAATTTCATAATGAAACTAAAGGAATTATGATTTGAGCTATTAAGACTACTTATCTGATGTACCTAAATACCTATAGAGCGCTCTGGTGATACCTGCATTGTGGCTATCCTTCAACAGGTGCATCTCAGGTTATTCCAAGGGTCGGAGAGCTAGTTAATTTTTCTTCTACAGAACTTCATTTAAATTAAAACATTTTTATGTCCCGTCATCAAATAGTTTCCGTTAGGGCAATCTCCACTTTCCACCTCTCATAAGAAAGTAGTAATTGACAGTATTTGGCCCTTTTAAGAAATTTTCTTATTTTGGAAAAAAAATCTACACAAGTTAACTTAGTAAACTTTTTAAAAACTGAGTATTACTGAACAATAACAATAGGCAGCTATTCTATTCTGAGGGCATTGTTTGCAAAATAATGATTTTTAGCATCAGTTTCACTGAACTCAACTGAAAGACAATTATACTCCTGATGGTGTGCTTGTCTACCAATCATATTTGTTATGGATCCTTGATTATTTCATCCAGTGATTTTTCATTGTCACCATGCCAAAGATGAAAAGGACACCGAACATTTCAATCTAGCACTTGAATGATTCCTTAAGGTTTGAAATTATTCCAGTCTAGTCTCTCTTAGCTCCTGTAGAAGGGGAGCAGTCTTGGACATATGGGTTCATGTTTTAAATTCCCTCAGTCACAGTGGGACCCTGTACAGGAAGCATGAGCCTCGAAGTTAAACTACAGGAGAAAACAACATCTTTTATCTACGGCAGTACTTGGAGCTGCCTCTCCAAGGTCAACACCAGGCAAGATCTTTAACCAACGTTATCTTGGGCTGTTAAGCTTATCCAACGTCCAGGCCTCTGGGCAGTTCTCTCTTATGAAGAATGGACAAAGATCGTGTAGTTTCTAGTATAACTATTTGATTTCCGGGTTTAAATCCTCAACTAAATTCCCCTGGGAAGAAACACATGGTATCTCCGGTGCAGTCTGACTTTGAATGTTATGTTAAAAAAAGCACAGCTGTGTCAAAACTAGTCTTACATAATAAGTCTGTGCTTCGGTACCCTGAATTCATCTTTTTGAGTAGCTGGAAGTTCTAAGTAAGATACAGCCTGAATAGCTCAGTCACGCAATTGAGATGGGGGAAGAAATGTTACTTGGAGAAAACGGGGACAAACTTTCAGGCTCTAGTATCTTGAAGCAATACTCTCAGGTAACCTAATTTCTTGGAATTAAATAAGAAGCTATGGAATATACATTGAAATTGCTCTGGAAAATGAAAGACAGACTGAGGGAATTATAAACGAAGAGGGGAAGCGTGGAAACTAATGAAAAAGGAAGGTGTTGTCACGGCAATAGGAAACACACATGAGTTTACTTTTAGTTTTCTGGATCTGGGCCAGGCAGGGTTTGCAGACTTCTGCCGATCCTAATTCCCCTCCCCTGGTCCTAGTTTCCTCTCTCCAAAATCCTGCTCCAGCTGGAGGAGTAGCTCCATTCAAAGGAGAGGAACCATTTATCTGAGAAACCAGTAAATAAATGATGGTACCAAAAGCATTTTGTCTTCTTTTTCATGCTTTGTTTTCACTCACTCCTCTGTTGCCTCAAATTACTAGTCATTGTACATATGCTCTGAAAAGCTTCTTATAACCTTTTCTTGACTAGTTCATCTTACCCTGTTATGTATGGTCGTGTCTACACGAGGCCAGAGTTCCCAAACTGTACTGTATTATTTGGCCCCAAATATTTTCGCCCTCCAAGTTATCTGTCTATATGGAGGGTATAAGTTGAGGTAAGGCATGGTAACAACTGACCAGGTGTCTCCCACTGACAGCCAGTCATGAGGCTTTGATGAGGCTCCCTTCAATGGGACTGAGCACACCTATTTGAAACAGACATTCTGATGAAATATTTCGCAAGGCAGAACCAATTTCCACATTGAAAACTAACACCCACACCCACATTTATTAGTTCAGTTGTCCCTAAAGATAATTGTTTTCTTGTCATGTAGACACGACCTACAAACAATATAATTACTTAGAAAGAGTATACCTGAAAACGCAAAATTCAATATTAAGGAAATAATATAATAAATGCAGTGATCTGTGCTTTTAGCAGGACACCAAATGAAATAATAAAACTATTGAGCGAAACTTTCCAATGGTATATTATTACCCAAATCCCCAATTTACTCTAAGTATTTAAACCCTAGAAAATGAGAGCAGAAGGCCCCATTTTCATAAAAAAGACCTTAAGATTCTAAGGTCAATGCAGAGTACACAAGGCCCTCTACACCAAAGCCACAAAGTACATTCAATGAGAATGGTCAATTATTGATCATAGTTCTAGAAAATGAAATATCAGATTTCTCTTCAGGAGATACAAATAGGCAACAAAAAGTAATTCTAGGCTTTAAAGCAAAATATATATATATATATATGTACATATATATATGTACACATATATATATATATTTTTTTACCCTCCTCAATCACTATGCATTCCATGCTGTATTGTGACTCAGTTTGTAACTGAATTGGGATTAACTTTCTTTTTTTGGTTGCAGTATATGCACTAATTTGTACCTTTGTAGTCTTCATAAAGACATTGTCTATTTTTGTCGCCTGTAGTATGATTTGAAGTTAAACATTTCTTTTTGTATAAAAATCAACATTGTAAATGGCAGGATTTTTTATTGAGGGCATTCAATCTCCGCTTATTTCATTTTTCTGTTTCTTGCTGGGAAAAGGTTATTGCTCATTGGAAGTAATAACTTTAGTCGCCCCCTAGCAGTAACTGTGTGGGACAATTTTATAGACAAATTAGGCCTGACTTTATTATAAGTGAGTCTGTGCAGAAAGGGGCCAGATACTCACTTTTTCTAGATTGAACAAAAATCATACTCTTTAGGTCGCTAGAGAACAGTTCTGTGTCCTAGGAGAGGCATTCCGCCTTAACGGCTAGAAAGCACCTGAAGCACCAGCCCACACAACGGCGTCAGATTCTTTCTTACTAACAATAGTTAGGCTAGACTCGGTAAATCATTCGCCTACAGGTTACGGACTCTGGAAGGGCGTTAAACAACATCCACGAGAAACTGTTACGAGCCATTTCCCCACAATAGAGAGAGAAACAAAATGTTGATCATCTGCTCATTCGTGTAGTTCATGCTTCCCTACATGTGCTTAGAGATGGCAGTGCAGAGCAACTAAAGGCAGGGGGGGTATTCTTACAGAGAAATGCCGGACATACCCTGTCTAACCTTCTAGCTTCTATATGTCTAAGCAGCTGCTGTCTCCAGTCTGCAGGCATTTTCCCACAGCTCTCCTCTCCCCTCACAGGGGCGGGCCTTGGCTTTAAATCACTGTTATCTGATGGCTTGTCACCATAGTTACCCAAGTTATAGTCAGATGGCAGTTTTTCCAAAAGAGCTGCCATAGTAGGCCTAGCTGAAACTGGCCTGGTTTGGGAGGCACCGTAACTCTCTGTACTGTAGCTTCTTGCAGACAATGGCCTCCTCTGCGTAAGGTTTTTAACTGGAAAACTTCCCGCCTGAGCTTTCACTTCTTGATATGAAGGGTGTTCATCTTCGTACCTGCCATTCCTTTTCAGGAACTGGGACTCAGTCACTGAAACGCTGCTTTGGCGATCCAGACCGCCCCTATAGGGAGGTCTGCCGTACCTATCACCCGGAGGCAGCTCATGAGGTTCACTGACCCTTCTAAACATGGCCATCTCTGTGGAGCTCGCCAGGGAGTCGGCTCTTCTCAGGAAGCCCGTCCTGGCACCTTGGCTTGCAAACTGGGCATTCACCACAGCATCCTCATTAACGGATGGCTGAGAAAACGAGAACATTTGCTCCATCGGTGGGTATCCTCTGTAAGCTCTGGGACTAACCAAATCCTTGGCGATGTTTTTGCCGGGCTGTTGCACGTACTCAGAATTGTGTTGAAAGGGGGGCGGTATCCTCTTTTCGGCTTTAACTTCCACTGCTCCTTGGGGATTGAAACTTTGGTCAAACTGATAGACTTTTTTGGTCATGGAAGCTTTTTGTTGCTGTGGCCCTTTACTACTTCCATACGTGAGCATCTCGTCATCCAGCATCGGGACCGACTGGCTTCGAGACATACTGGACATACCATGCTCTGGCCCCAACATTTTATCTGGCCGTTCATGGCTTCCTAAGTGATCACTCCCAGAAGCATAGTTTTCTAACGGTATGTTATACACCTTGTATGTACCAATGTCAATCTCATCGATACTCTGTGACTTTTTGAATTTATTGGACTTGATATCTTTCATGAGTGGGGAAAGCCTCTCTGTGCTTTTGCTAATGGAAATAACACCTTTAGAAGATTCCGGGCGGCAGTGGATTTGAGAAAAGACATTGCTAAGACTCCTGTTGGGATTGGAATCGTGATACTCCCATGGTACTCCTGGAGAAAAAGGACTAGGTATTTCAGCAGATTCTTTTATATGTTCTTTCCTTTCAGGCAATGGGCTGGTGGTGGGGGTTGTCTCTAATTTGGAAGGGAAAGCGGTCCTGTCTTCAAAAGGACTAGGGGTTCTGGTCCAATTCTGCCAGGGATTGGAAGGAGGCACTTCTGTTTCTGGTGTGTGTCTGTGTGTAGACTGCTCGAGTTCCAGGGGAACACCAACAATCCTATCCTGCCTAAGCAAAGGCCTGCGTCCATGAGAAGATGTGCTTCTAGATTTTGAACTTAAGAGAGGATTGTTGTTGGCGTTCTCGCCTGCGGTCTCCTCTGCAACAAACCCTGTGTTATCATAATGTGAACCATCAGGCCAGTTGTCCGTGAAGGAGTCACTCATTGGCAGCCGGTCCGGACGCTGCGGTACATTCCCCGGGGGAACAGCCTCCCGCTGGCTGAGTAATGGCTTTGAATCGAGAGGCTGTGGGAAAGATTGCGCAATCCTGTGAAGACAGTGGGAAGACAAAATATGAAAATAAGGACGAGCTGGGTCTTTGCCAGAAAGAGAACAAGCAGCCAAGACTGCCACAATCCTCTGTTTCACGGATCATTCATCCACACCTCACTTTCAATTAAGATGGCATAGTTATTTCAGCCCTGCCCCCCAAATCCACCCCTTTTCCTTGCTTTTTTTTTATTCTAAACCATTTGCACACTAATAACATTGAATAATACATATATATATATATATGTATTTTATCAGTGATAGAAAGACCTTTAAGTGCTTTTGCTAATTGAAAAATAGTAAAATAGAGTAGGAACCATTTTGGAAAGATTAAATACTTTTGCTTATAGCCTAACTTTTCCAGGTAGTGATAAAATGATGATGATGATGATAACGACGATGATGATAGCAATGACAATTTTATTAAATATTTACTTTGTACTGGGCACACAAGTGCTTTCCATGCATCTTGGTTTAATCCATAACCCCACTGGGGATAGTGAAATGCCCACGTGTGTCATAAATAAGTACTAGGCAAACAGGATTTTTGGTTTCAAATTTTTTTAATTTCTGTTCCTATTATCTCAACCTGATAATCTCCTGCCATCTCTCCCTTAAACAATGGTTTTGCTGTATAAAATGGATTCATCCTCTCCTGGAAATCCTGGTGGGAATGTGATTGCTTACCTGCCCCTTCCGTCTGTCTTCTACACCATTCATGCGCTGAATACAATTCAAAAATTAAGATCCCATTTTTTTAAAAAAGTTGCTGAAAGTAAGCACTTGGGAACAGAAAAAAGGGAATTCTAAACACACCTGTTACCCCATAAAGAATTATGTACTGCATCTTTAGCTGTTGTCTGCAAGGACCCCACTTTAACCCGGGTGTTAGAGGATCCTGAGGAAGCCTGGGAAGGCGAGTAGTCTGAGTAAGTGCCTGAGGAAACACTGTTATTCAGACAGTGAGTTTTGTCAACTTCAGACTCATCTGTTGATTCTGAAATGTAAAGGGGAAAATGTTATAATGCTATGAACATTGACAATAATAAACACAGAAAAGCAAGTATGAAAAACAGATAGCATAACAATGTTAGGAATATATATTTGTAAAATATTTCTATAGACTATGGTGTATCAGAAGTTACGACTGGTGATTCATCATGCACATGCATTTGTGGCATATTTTCCACATTAGGTTCACAGTGTTACCTTTTTTGTCCTTCCCTAGCAGAACAAGTTTGGGTGGGTACAGAGGGGTCTCAGCTAATGAAGGGTGAAGTTCCCCAATCCTCATTTCATTAGCTGGATGAACAAAAGAATCCTGAGAGATATAATAATATAGGACAAGGAAAGTAAACATTTAAACATTGGTTAACCAAGGTGGCAATATCTTTACTTGGCTCAGATTTAAAGATGGGGCTCTAGAATATAAGTCACTGTGGAGCACTGGGAGAAGTGAATCATGTTTCTCTGAGGTGAGTACTAAAATGTTTTGTTCTTTCTAATTTAAATGAGTCCATTTGTTGATCAGACATTTTTTGAATGCCTGTTGATATGCCTGGCACTGTGCAAAGAACTGTAGAGTTTCCAAAGAAAGACAAAATGTCACCCATGTCCCTTGGAGATTTACCATCTAGTTGGGGAGATGAGATACATCTTATTATATTTATAACACATGACTGAATTATGATAAGCTGTATGATAAGCATGTAAGAATCTAAGAGGGGAGCTCCCTTAAGGGTTCTAAGAGGGAAAGTCCATCACTGACCAATTAAATTTCTTTTCATCTTCAGCCATGCTCCTGCACAATTGGGTCCTTTAAATCCGGCTTTTATTGCCAATCCCCCTGTTAACTCTTACTGTTTCCCAAGTGATCTTATCCTCAATTTCTTTAGTTCTATCATGACTTCTTCCTAAGGTTTCTAGTTTTCTCATGATTAATCTAGCTTGCTAAATCTTCATTCTAAATCCATTCATTGAGTGTAATGAGCAACACTGGTACAAGAATATAACTTTATAAAGACAAATGAACATGTTAAAAAACCCTGTGAATTTTAAACTTCTTTAATTAAAATTATTATTTCCAGTTAACCAGATAATGAGAGAGCATTGGGGAAGGTAAAATACCAAATTCTTACTTTTTTATACACACAAAAATGTTTTGTCTATGCCCACAGGGAGGTAGTGATATAAATTTATGCATGGCAGTTATCCTTATGTCTTTTTTTTCTTAAACCTTAGGTTAATTTGAATTCAAAAAATAATTTTCAGCATTTTTCAGTTTTCCCATTAATTAGTTCTTGTTAGTTTAAAACATTAATGCAATACATTTAGAAATATTTTGTTAAATAAAGAATATACTTGAGCACACAAATATAGTAAATGAAATGTGTCCCACTTTATAACTAATTGGTAATAGACAGAAACTTTTATTATATATTTCAATGCCCCACATAGTGAATGACAGGCTCAAGTCTTTGGGTATTGCAAAGAAACAGCCATTTCTTTAGCTCCTGGCTTAAGTTCAATTTTTTGGGTTGGTTTTGGTTAGGTTTGTATGAGAATACTTGCCTGTGAAAAACCTGGGTATATATCTGATATTTGTTAATTATTTAAAAAAAAATATTTCTAGCTGAACCTTTCATTTCCTACAAGTAAATTTTAAGACTCAGCAAGGTCCATGCTTACAGGGAAAATTAGACCAAGATCCAGCATAGAGGCAGGATTCTTGGGTTCATGTCCAAAAATCTTCCCTTATATTGTGCCACCTCCTAGTGAGCTCAACTGTGAGCACATTACAGACTTTTAAAATCCCGTTCCAGATTTGAAGAGGGATAGGAAAGAGAGAGGGATTGATGGAAATTCTGGAGATGAAGAGGGAAATCTGTGTTTCCATGGATTTTGAAAACTATTTCAAGGTATTATGATAAAGTTTTAAGGTGACAGAATAGAGAGTAAAAGGCTTTACACATCTTTGTAGAAATTTATAAGTAGAAGCAGACACAAGTTTGAGAAATTGTACCATGAAAAGTCATAAAATATGTTAAGGCTTATCAAAAAATATTCAATTACAAAGTGGCATATTTCTCTTCCATTCCTGCTTTATCATTTATTAATCAGGTTATCTTGGGCAAGTCAGTGTACCTCTCTGTACCTTATTCAATTCATCAGTAAAAGGAAGGTAATAGATGATAGGAATTAATGCTATTTTCAGTCTAGTACTAACATTCTATGAATCTAAATGTAACTTATTTGTTGAAATAAGTTTAAAAAGGAAATATTCTTATGACACCTGATACTGAAGTACAGGAATTTTGTTTTAGTCAACAAAAGAAACCAAAGAGTTGTACAAGCATAGAAATGTAAATATAATTAAGGGCTTCATTATTTCATTTTCCTTATGACTTATACAATCAGTGTGCAAGTTATCTTGAATGTATAGATCAAATTTTCAAATTTGTATCCCAAGATTGTGGCTGGAGCTTGGCATGGTAGGTATGGTATGACTCAGATTCAAGTCTCTTGTTCTGCTCAAGAATTTCTACTTTGAATCAAAAAGAGCTCTAGTGAGTAGGAAGAGACTCTGATATCAGCTAATCATGAGCTTGCCCCTTTTCTCAAGAGTTCTGTGGCCCTCCACCTAGGAGGATTAGCACTACTGAAGCAAGAACAGTGGATTCCCACTGATCCACTTAGACTCACTTATCTTCATGAGCAAAATGATAATGATGATGATGATGATTATGATGAAGATGATGATGCCATCAGTTATGGAGGATCTATTACATATCTGCTACTGTGCTACTATGCTAAACACTTTATCTGTATCATCTCTGTTAATTACTTAATTGATAACCTAGTTTTTACTGTTATTATTTTTAAGTTATTTACTATCATTATCTTTGTTTTACAGTTAAGGAAATGGAGGCTCAGAGAGGTAAAGTCATAATTCCAAGTCACCAACTCAGTGTGGTAGAGCCAAGATTTGAACTGGGATCTGTGCAATGGAAGGCCTTCTGTGTGATACTATGTATGCTCTACTGTCTACCCTAAGGAAAGCTCACCTCTCAGCTGGACTTCACAGAACAGACAAGTTAACTGTCCAACAAAGGAAATTAATCATTGATTCTGTCTCTATAAATTCTTTTAGAGAGGCTGGAGGAGTCAAGTTCACATTGGGAAAAGTGGGTGAAGCTTTTGGGACTACTTCTATGGTGAAGGCAGTGGAAGTTATTGGTCAGGAATCAAATATAATGAGGGTCCCATTTTAAGCACCTTGAACCATATTTGCTTCTGGTAAGGAGACAGAGGAGGGGGAGAAAGAAAAGGTAGAATCTCTTTTTTTTCTTTAACCCATTGACTTTGTGTTGTTCAGACTAAATCTCAGCTGCTACTGTTGTAGGGAAAGGGAGCCTAACGTAGAAGTGAGAGGGGGAAAAAACTTGTGTCTGAGCTTTCAGGAGTCCAGGTCTAGTATTAATAAAAGCATTTAAGGACATTTTCAAGGGTAAATGACTATTCTCTATTACCAGGAGAGAGATGTGTTTCCTCTATAGAAAGAAATTGGGTGGAGTCTCCTAACAAACAAAAAAGTCCAGAAACTTTGTGAACATGGTGGACACAGTGAACAGGTATCCAGTGAGAAGTTTTCTTTAATGCAGGGTAGTGGCCCACAAAAGGATTAAAGGTGGATGGGCAGGATTAGCACATCATTCTCTTTTGGAAGGGAAGGGAATTATCATTTACTGTAGCTTTCCTCTTCGCCAAGAACTGTGCTTGCAGCTGTATAAAAATACTTGTTTTCATCTGATTTTATCTCCACAAAACTCTAAATGTTATTGTTACCTGTATTTCTAAAGATACAGAAAGCAAAGCTCAGAAAGTTTTCAATGACTTGTCAAGATCACAAAATTGGTAACAAGGTAAATTCAATTAATGTCTACTAGACTCAAAAGCACTTTCTCTTGTTCCCAAACTGGGCTCCAAGATACCTGTGGTGCTGTTTTTAATTCATCACAGGAATACATGGTTTATTTTAAATATTTGAGGGAAACAAAGCAATACTTGACATCAGTCAGATACTGTGTGAATTAGTGGCTCTCAGTTTCAATATTAGATTGCACTTTCCTTTTGATGACAATCTTTGTGAAACTGGGTTTTTGGTGGTTGCTGTGATCAAAAATCAAATGCTATTTGAAAATCAGTGTGAAACAGAATTGTAGTATCTAATATGATTTGAAGGTTTGAGAAGGTAAGTGGTGTCCCACGGGGCACACATTTCATTAATAAGTAGTTTTGCTATTTAAGCATGAAATAAAACTATTATTTTCCTTTTCAGTTTATGTGTATTATTCTTCAAATGACCACTAGGCAGGGCATAAATATTTATTAAGTTGTTCACACCTACTACTTAATAAATGGAACTGTTAGGTGCTTCTTTTGGTCTATGATCCTTGTAACAAAATTACTAAGACACCAAAGGCATTTGTATACCAAGATTTTTAGAACACTTAGCCTTTACTCATTTTATGTCATAGCTTTATTTACCATACCATTCTTCTTCCTTCCTTCCCTCCTCTTTCCCTGCTCTCCTCACTCTCCCAATAGTCTTCATCATGATATTTTGCCTTTACTCATATTACATTAATGTATTAATATGGTAAATTGTTGTTTTTAGAATACATGTTATTCAACACATAGGTGATGAAATATAAATAGGTATGGCAGCCAACACTTAATTAGTGATTAATTTGACAAAAACTCAGAGAAATTGTTCTTCCCCTCAATTAACTTCTAATTGGATGTAGGGACAGACATGTTATCAGTATTACAACACTAGACTCTATCAGTTGTTCATGCACTCAACAGATATTTATTGTGTCTGACTCTGTAGTAGGCACTGTGCTGGACACCAGAAAGACAATGGTAGGCAAGACATACCTGGCTCCTGCCCTCATGAAACTAAGTCTGAAGTTAATAAACAACATAATCATAGATGTTTTCCTTATATTTAACACAAATAAGCAGGATGATGTGATAGAGAAAATCAGAGGTTCTACTGATCATGGTGATCAGGGAAGGCCTTCCTATTGAGGTCATCTCTAAACTAAAACTTGGAAAGACGTGGAAGTGCTAGTCATATAAAGAGCTGGGTGCTACATACTGAATGTTTGTGTCCCCTCAAAATTCATACGTTTAAACCTATATGATGATATTTGGAGGTGGGATCTTTTTGGGAGGCGATTAGGTCATGAGGATAGAACCTTCATGAATGAAATTAGTGCCATTGTAAAAGAGACCCTACAAAGCTCCCTATCTCCTTCTACCATGTGAAGTCACAGAGAGAAGATGGCCATCTATAAACCGGGAAGTAGGCCTTTACTAGACACTGAATCTATTAGTACCTTGATCTTGGACTTCTTAGCCTCCAGAACTGTGATAAATAAATGTTTTTGTTTATAAGCCATGTAGTCTATGGTATTCTGTTATAGCAGCCTGAATGGACTAAGACACAGGGAAAAAGCAAATGTAAACTTCATAAAACTTATATAAAGGAATATGGAAGTAGAGGACAACCTTCATACCTCCCCGTCCTCCTTGTTCATATGACCCTCCCAGCTGTATTCTTTGCCTAGCATAACGTATATTAAAACTCTTGGCATAGGGTTGGCAAATAGAAAGTGATCAATAAATATTGATTTCCTTTTCCTTTTCCTTTTTTTCCTCTGCTGCATTTGTAATCTATTTACCTTATTTATTCTTATCATTTTCTGTTTCTGGTTCTGCCTACCTCTATTCTTTTTTCCTTGGTTTTCCATATTTAACCATATGGATAAATCTATCATGCAGTGTGTGATACTCTATTCCGTATTCTTGACAGTATGAACTAAATAATGACTCAAAAATGTCATACAAGTGCAAAACATACAATAAAATGCTTCATATACACTGATCAGCTGGACACTTGGCCATCTGTATTTATTTTATTTGGAAGTGGAAAATATGGAGTGTGGCCCCTTGATCTGGCTGAGCAATTCAAGAAGGGAGGATGATAAAAAAGCAACAGCTTCTCTTTGCTCTAGGATGGCTAAAAGTTGGGGAAAGAAGATCTAGAATCTCAGTTTTAGAAAAAGTATTGAAATTACCAGTGAGATTTCTGTTCAAGATAAAAGGCCAGGAGAAGAAGTAAACTAAGAAAGGGTGGGATGAATCACTGAAATAATTATAAAGCTTAAGATTGAGTTTCAATTAGATAGGAAATAAGTGTTTTTAAGGAGGGCAAATTAGATTTGTGTCTTAAAAAGATCATTATTAGGAGCACGTGGGTGGCTCAGTTGGTTAAGTGTCCAACTTTGGCTCAGGTCATGATCTCAGGTCCTGCAATCAAGTCCCTCATTGGGCTCTCTTCTCAGCAGGGAGTCTGCTTCTCCCTCTCCCTTTGCCCCTCCCCCTGCTTGGGCTCTCTCTCTGTCTCTCTCTCTTAAATAAATAAAATCTTAAAAAAATAAATAAAAAGGGCATTAGCAAAGTAATGAGGGGGCTGGGGACAATGTAAGCCAAGAAGTTGACAGTTTTTATAATAATGCAGGACAGAGTTGAGGGCCTGAGGAGGTTGAAGAGATACACTTAGATGAAAATGTAGATTTAGGTGACCGGAAGGGGCAGTGAGTGGAGAGAAAGAAGGAAAAAGAAATCAGGATACCTTCCAAATTTCTAGCTTGAGTAAGCTAGTAGATAATAGCGCTAGCAGAGATCAAGTTTGGGCATATAGGAGCAGAAGTAAATTTGGGGAAGAAACATTAAATATAATTTTGGGTTTTTCAAGTTTGAAATGCTTGTGGGATAATTTTAAGATTTATTTTCTCTACAAGGGTTATTACAAAATTTATATCCAAAGCCATCTTTTCCTTGCCTCACCTATCCCAATCCTGTATTAAGCAATTTTAGAATCTTCTTATTTTGTAGCAAAATTACACAGTTTATGGGTTATTATGACCTCACAATTATTTTAATGTTAAACTGTGATTGCATGAGGTTTAAATATGAAGTGTATGTGTATTAGTGTGTACCTCTTAAATGTTGGCTTTCTTCCTTTTTATATTATTAGAGTGTCTTAGAGATAAAAGAAAAGTCTGTTTCTCTGCTATTGCATATCTGTAATATTTTAGAAAGAAAAAGTACGATAATACTGATTTCATAAGCAAAAAGAAAAAAAAACAATGAAAATGAGTATTTACTTAAATTTTCTTCCCTGGATACCAGGCTGTATTCTTCTTTTCTGGGGTGGGCTGGTACCTCCGCTGGCAAATAGTCACACCAGGCTTATTTTTGCTCAAACTTTTCCCTTTGTCTGGAATGACTTCCTCTCTTTTGACTTTAAAAGAATCACCCCATTATCAATGTGCAGTTCAACCTTAAAGTGTTTCACATAACTTTTTAATTGATTGGCAGTGATTGCTTCTCTCCAATTTCTTAAAGTATTATATTCTCCATCACACAACTAATCATGTGATCATATTTTATATAATATGTTCTCTAATTACTTCATCTGTGGTAATTTTACCTGGCTAGGCCCTAAATTAGTTGGGGACTATGTGTACATTTTATATTTCTTTTCTCTCTCTCACAGTATTTAGCACAGTGCTAAATATACAGTTGGTGTTTAATCAGCGCAACAAATTGATGCTGTGAAATGCAGATTTGTAAAAGAGTTTCACAAACCTAGATTTTTGAGAAGTAGATACAGTAACTTCTAGACGTACTCATTCATACCAGTTATGTTTCTAATGAAGATAAAAAGGTGATAACCAAATTAGCTGAAGAGTGGATGAGATAGTACAGAGGTGGTATAAATGTAGTTGAATTCTTTTCAGACCACACAAATTGATAAGGATGAATATCTAGTTGATTCTAAAATACAGGAATTAAGTTTCACATGGCCAGATCCAGAAAAGCTAAATTTCAAACTTATCTCCTCTTTGTCATGTTTATAAAAGTGTTTCCTATAAAGGTTTTAATCCAAATACAGAAACAAACAAACAAAAAATGGGCTCTAAATCTGATCAAGAATCTTACTGAGATTTGTAGAGTAAAAAAAAAAAAAGCTTCATTTAGTCTTTTCTAATGACTCATACAATATAAGTTTGGGGTAGCCAAAAGAGTGTAGTGAAAATGATATAATGCACTTACTGGCTAGGCCTAGCTGAGTGAGCAAGTTATTCCTTCTGTGTGTATTGGAACTTTTGGAGCTGTATTAATAATTTTAGGCCATGAGGGTGTCATTTACCTGTAATTTATTAAATGCAACCCTCATAGTTTGAAAAAGTAGAGAGACTTATTTATATTTTAGGGGGAAAATGCACTTATCAGAGAAGATCTAATCAGTTAAAAAGACATAGAATTTAGTAATTCCAAAAAATCCAAACCACACTGGCAATTACCAATAACCTTGAAATACCTCCACTGTAATCTCCTTTGGGGCTACAGGCCACTTGTGTTCATATTTTTCTTTCACAGTTTGCTCCGTGTTAGCAGTTGGATTTGAATTCTCAACACGCACTCCATGGCTTGGCTTACCCACCAGATTTTGAACAGATTTTACCATATTCTTTAAATCCTCTGGATAAGGAGTTGGATATCGTTTTAGGTTTATTTCAACCTAGAAGTTTATAAAAAGAAATTTAACATAAAAATACCTTCGGCAAACATGTTCACAAAACTACTCCATTTTATGTGCAGTAGCAAAACCAAATGCAATATAGTGAGTGTTGAGCTGACTGAGAAACTGTATTGTAGAGTAGAGCACATTCTGCCCTCACAGGGCTTCTTCCCACCCTGTCCACCTTCTAGATTAAAAAGCATTTTTGGGTTATATTCTATCTTTAGACCTACCCTGCAGATGGTTGAAATAGCAGTAGGTCAAACATATAAGTGACTGGTAATCTGAAGATTTTAAGCGTTACTATCAGCTGCTTTTATACTTTAGAGGCTGTTCTTTCCCTATCTTAATTATTTATAAGTAATTATTTTCATGTTAAGGATATCTTTGGAATATCAACGTAGATGATAAGAGGAGACCCCAAAAGATTTAGAGTTTATCATGAATTAAAAAAGTGGGGAACTGACAGTATCTGCTACCAAATATGCATCAGCTCTATGTTAATTAGCATGTTATATCAAAAGGTCAGGGAGCTAATTCTTGTTAATACCTAAAAAGAATATGCTTCAGGGTGGCTTTTATATTTAGTTTTTGCCCTAATAAAGCAACCTGTTTTGTAGGTAATGTCTTAAAATAAAAAGAAATTTAAAAATTGAGGAGATTTTCTAAGATATTCTAGATAAACATGTAAATTTTGGCTTGTATTGCCCAGATATTTATTTCCATTCTTGAATTCATTTTTGTTGTATCGATCTGACTTTGGGGAACATATATATTAATGATTATTCTTCACATTTAATTTAGAGAGAGAAAATATGAGACACTTCCATATAGAAAATCCCATTATCAGAATATTTAAAATATACGTAAATTGGAATAAATACAAATTATCCATACTGATTAAAAGGGAGTGGGAAGGAAAACAAGGAGCAGATTTATTTGTCCTGGCTTATTCCAACCGTCATGCCTTTTGCATCTGAGTAGAACCAACTTTACAAAATGGAATGGTTTATGTGATTGTGGTGAGTATGTGTCTGTGGAAAGTGTGTGTGGGGGTAGGTTGGGAGGAAGGGAGAAGAAAGCAAAGCTGAAGAAGGAAGGAGTGGGAATGAGAGGAAAGGAGAAAGTGGGGGGGGCACACACATACCCACCCACCAACACCCATGTAATTCATGGGATGTAAGAATGGGATGTACGATGGTGGTATAGATCTGAGGATTATAAATACGAATTCAAACACTTTTGCTCATCTGCAGTTTTAGCAAATCCACCAACTTTGTTATATTTATTCTTCCCTGTGGCTCATTTTCCATATCAAATACTGGGATTGGACTCCACTTGATGACTTCTAACATTCCTTTCAGTATTAAACAATCAAAATTATTTTTCCAACAAATTTTTGGAAAGCTGAGGAAAAACCAGATAATTTTGCTAGTATAAATATTGTTGTAGTCTTTTATACTCCCAAACAAATAAGAATGAAATTAATAATATATAGAAATAAAGCTACAAAAATATAACCCAAGAAAAAGTTAGACTTCTCAGAAAAAAAGTGTAAGTTGTTGAAGAATGTAATATAAATAAAGTTCAGGGTACTTAATTTATAATGTATTCTTAAATAAACATAAAAAGAATGATATCCATGCTAGACAAAGTCCATTGGGATGCATGCATTCTTGGATCTGCTGTTTAAGTTGGTATTAGAAATGTTAATCACAAATTAAATCTAAATTTTAAATTATATTGTTGAACTCATTTAAAAGTACTTGAGAGCAAAGGGCTAAAAGTCAAAAAACTACATTTAAAAAAATATAGATTGTAGAGTGGTATGGCCATCATGCCAATTAAGAACATCTTTTAATTTTTAATAACCAGTGGTATATGAATGAAAAATAATTTTCATGTAGGGCAATAGATTAAAATTCTATGTACCTTAAAAAAATCTTCAATGCTAAAATTACACTTCTAAATTGAATCAAAAGCAAAAAAAAATGCGAAGTGTTCTTCTTTAACTGAATTAAATTCCACATTGAATAATGTAATCTGTTTTTTGTAGATGCTATGTCTCATCTGACACAATTAGATGACTATTTACTAATGACCACAGTGCCAATATCTTCTGGTTATTTTATAAGCAAGTTAATGTGATATTTTGGTCATATCACCAGAATATGTTTGGGTTCTTTATCTCTGAAAAATATTTAAATTTGGAAACAAAAGCAGATTTATCAAGCTAATGAAGCTTAAGCTTTAGAGCCTTTCACTTAAGCTTTTTCCAAAGCCTTGTGAGGGGCCCTACTTTTTTATTTACATGGTTATTTCATATTCTTTTCCTTAAAGAGGCCCTTCTCCAAACTGTGGGAAATTCAGGTCTTATAAAACTTGGATTTGTTCCATCTAGACAATAAGCTCCTTGCTTCCCATTTACTAGTCTACCAACAGAACTTGGTGGACCTGGAGTCAGAAAACCTAAATTTAAGCCACAGATTTACCCCCAACAAGCTATCAGCCACTAATCTTTCTGTCCAGTTTCTGCTTATGTAAAATGGGAATGATAATATCTCCAGTTAATCTAGAGCTAAAATGAGATAATAACTGTGAAAATCTTTTGAAAATGTATAAATTCCATGCAGAGATTAGATACTATTTTCTAAAATCAGATTCTACTTAGGTATTTTTAAAATCTGAATTTTTTTTGGCAGTTTAGATTCTACTCTATATACTATATATATATGTAACTCCATACTACCTGTAACTGTTTGGACTTTTTTTCAGATTGTATACAGCACCAACTATCATTTATTCAGTATCTGCCATGTGCCAGGCACATGTACAATATTTAAAAGGATATTTAATTTATTAATAGTTATTTATATAATATATAATACTTATTTCATTGTGTACCATATAGATTTATATATAAATAATACATGATTATGATTATTAACATTCATTAATTACTTATAATTAATTATAATTAAACATAGTTTAAATTTCATAACCCATTGTAGCACCTGTTCCTGTCTCCCTGAGAATAGGGCTCAGGCAGTGTAGGTTCCTTGCCCAAAGTCATACAGCTATGGGTAGCACTGCCCAAATTCAAACTCAGGTCTTTGACTCCAAAGTTTAGGCTACAGAAGTGTTACTTGGCTCAGGGCTATTCCCTGATATAAGTAAGCACATAGTTGTACAATCCTGGAGAAAAGATAGTGGGTGTAAGTCTAAAATGTAAATTTTATTGAGTTAAATAACAAGATAAATTCAATTTTTAAAACATAAAGCTATTTTATAATTTCTTCTTAAAGGAAACTATAATATTTTATAATTGTTGTTTGTAAGTTCTGTAAAAGCATATTTTATACCCTTCTACAGATTGTTTTGCCTACGCCTTTCTACTTTTTAATTCTTGTGCGATGCTTCAGAAATGAGAAAACATGATCATAAATATGATTTTATTAATAGTTCAGTCATGCCCAAATAAGAACAGTTTCTTTATATTTCTAAGTACATAGGCTAGAAATATTCCCTCATTCTAATATGGGATGGAGAAATAATGTAAATTCATTTATGATATAAATAGATGGGAAAAAACTGTCAATTATTCTTACCAAAATGTGTGTATCACTCACCATAAAGTATTTGTTCATTTTACGTATACATTTTATTAAAATGCAAGATTTTCACTGCAATGTTACTTCATTTTAATTTTAGAAAAATAGAAATGTTTCACAACATTCTATATATTTCAGATCTAAAAAAAGTGCAGTAAATGCAAATAGCAGCTGCAAGATGTTGGAGACTCCCAAAAGTTTAGCAATGGAAGAAAAAATTTGTATTAATAGCTAGGGCATTTAGAGATGGTATCTTGAATTCTCAAAGAACTGTGGTTTTCTTATATAATGATTAAATTCTAATTTGGTTTGACTGTAAATTCCAGTAAGAGAAGTAATAGTTAATGCTTTGATTACTGATCATTAGGGATCTTATCCTGGGAATTAATCAGAACATTTTACACAGAAAGGAAACCTATAGGAGTTTTAGTTAGGATTCTCAGCTGGCCTTATATTGCAGAAAGAATATAAGACACAGAATAAGAATCTAGTCCATTACATGTGAATGGTAAAGCTTACCAAAAATGCAGTGTTCTTTCCCATCCCATGAAGACATTTTTTTTTTTCATTGAACTTTTAAACACCCAACCCACTGAGATAAGGAAGCCCTGTTTGCCACAACTCCCAAACCAATCTTCTCTTACAGGAATTCTCATCATCTGTGCCTTCAAATTAGAGGGAAATTGATGCTTTTCAACAGATGTCCATCTTTGTGCTCAAAGTCCACTCTCAACAAATCTCAATTCAAATCTCATGCTATTTTAAAAATCAGGTTTTAGTTACTTAATCTCCCTCTGAATTGATAATACAAAAATGTGTGTATGTGTGGGGGCAATTTAGATTTTATCAATAGTGTCATCAACATTCTGCTCAACTATTGGTATTCCCACACTTTAAAGAAAAAAAATCTTTAAAAATAAAAACATAAATAAAAATGAAGCACCCAACTCAAAAATCATGCCATATATCCCACCATTAGGCACCTCATTATTGGTGTCCCCCCCCCCTTGACTTGGTCTCTCCACCCCATTGCCAATGTCAACGAACAGAAAAAATTGAGGTCAAACATTGGCAATTGGATGGTTTCTGTAGGATCAACATTTCTTACCCCAATTCATGCAGAACATACCCCATAAACCACTGTTCCAAGGTTGCCTCTACATGGGGGATTCTCCTACCCCAAACACCTAGGCCTACCTGTCTGCCACTTAGAGAGGGAAGAGTGGTGGATTGTGCTGCAACTGGCAATGGAGTACACATGCTCCTTTCCTGCTGGAGGCCACTTATACAACCCCATGCCAGCTGTGGGTCATTCTGGGGGACGGGCATATCTTGGATCTGCTGATCACACCTGGCCCATGGTGTGCAGCAATCGCCAGACAGTCTGGCAGGTTGGAGAGTAATCCCACGCTGGCCCCTTTCCCAGGGGGCTTGGCAGGAGTGATCCTGTGGGAGAAGGAATCTCCATTTTCTGGGAGAAAGAGGAGCGCTGTAGCAATACTTTCACTTTATCATTTTTCTACTCTTGATTTTTTTTTCACTCTGGGTAATGCACTTAAAACAACCATCAGAAAATTAGTTCGAACTCTTTGTAATGAAACAGTATCAATATCATATGAAGCTAATGGGTCACGATTTTTTCACACAATGCAGCATTCATACTACACTATACGCTCTGTAAGTAGGGCATTATACTCTAGTCCACTTGGAAGTTGATGGCAGAGGTCAGTGGTTCCTCCCTAAATTTTATGTAAATGAAAGGTAAAATGGTGCTAAATTTAATGTATATGTAATGAACCAGAGAAGTGTGATTAATTTAGTGTAAGATTTCTGTATATTCCATTCATCATACTTCCATGATGATTTATTTAGAAGTTTGTTTGTGTTCTAATTTGTCCAATAGCCCAATGGCATTGGAAATATTCAAATTAGTCAAAACCAAGTGTTCGAGATTTTTGAAACACATACTGTTTCACCAAAATATAAATAAATCAAATATAAATAAGCATAAAGAAAATGCAATCTAAAGTATAATGAACCTACTCTGATTATAAACAAACCTGACCACATAACACACAAACAGGGCTTCTAAATAACTGTTTGTATTTTATGTTTTCATTGACACATATACCAGAGTATATTAAGCATACTATTTTCTTATTAGATCCTTTGAATATGGATTTTTAGGACTAAGTATGTAGTTTTTGACATTCAGTGAAGTAAAAGAATGAATCAGAGGTCCAGTATAGAATGCATCATCCATTGGTTCTAGATTTAACATATGAAATCTTAAAAGAAGAACTGAAATGCTATAAAGGTCTTTGTTTAGTTTGGCATTGCTTTTTCCAGAAATTCACAAGTTAAAAAAAATGTTTCTTTGGTTATTAGATAGCACTAACCAAGCATCCAGAAACATTTTTTTAAACTCAAATCTTATCAAAACTATCATTTTGATTTGGGAATCCACTTTGGATTTTCCACAATGATGTAGAGGTAGGCTTTGTCAATTACCTTACTGTCTAAATCTAGTAAGGTTTCAGGGTGTGTTGGTTTAAGAAAAAAGTTTAGAAAATGTGGGAATGAGGGGACAGAAAAGAACACATTACACAATTTAGATCTATTAATAGGATGCACATACAATTACTTAGGCAATTAGTCACTCAGAGTGAGAGCTGTTAGTATTCATGATGGAAAAAGTACACAAATAATACTATAAAAGATTAGAGATTCAAGATGTTGCTCTGATGATAATATGAAGATCTGATGTTGATAAAATTTTCTCTGCACTTCAAATTTAAATAATGAAAAAATATAGATTTTAAAATTTCACTTTGTTACTTGACTTAAGTTAGTTCCAATAAAGGATTTTACAAAAGATGTTTGAGGTGAAAAAATCGAATATCACCTGCTACTAGGCACTTGCCTCCTTTAAAACTTGCTTTCTCATTTCAGAAAACTGATAAATTCTTCTCAGATACCCCAGAGACATAAAATCTTTCAGATATTTTAAAGCCAATATAACATATTAATCCATGGGCTCTTCCCTAAATGTATTCTTTGGTCTCATATGGCCTGCCTGGTGCCTTGTTTAGTGATTAGAATAAAACCATTTCAGTGTTTCAAAAATGTAATAAGGTGCTTAGGTAAAGCCTATCACTCAGATTCATTTGTTTGTTTTGGCTTTCTCTCACCTTGAATCTCTTTCATGTCGTTACTCTGTAAGATGGGGTGGTGTATCAAATTTGCTCAGTCAGAATTGGGACATGAGTCTCATTCTGAAGCACACCACTGCTTCTCAGATTACCATCCTGCTACAATGAAGGAGATGTGAAGATGTAGCTGACCTTCAAGCAGAGGTCACGCAATCTGTCCCAAAATCTATTTTAATCATAACAATGGACAAACAAAAATAATGAGAAGAAAGAAGAAACAAAATGAAAAGTTTCACCTTAACTTTCCCAGCATTTTCATCATCTTCCTTTTTTTCTTCAAATTCAAAGGCAACAGTCATGCGTTGTTGTCTCTGCTCTTCCCACAGTGTAGGGTTAAAGCTGTCACTGTCTGACTGGAAATCTATAGTTAGATTCCAAAGTATTATTGCTTTTTTTTTACATGAAGTGTTATTAATAGAGCTCAGTACACTATGCAAAAAATGGCAATAGGTACTACAAACAAGTACAAAAATTTAAAAAAGGGGAAAATAAAGAGAAAGAAAGAAGGAAAGAAAGGAAAAAAGAAGGAAAGAAAGAGAAGAGAGGGAATAAAATTCCCTTGATATTTGTTTACATGGTTTTTTTACATCTCAATTCAAATTCATCTTTCCTAATACATATTAATTATATATTGGGATTGGGAAGTTTTCTAGTGTGGAGAACAGGCTCTCCAAAGGATAATAATAATAATAATAATAATAATGAGAGCTGGACTACACATTTTAAAACATTATTTTTTAAAATCTTCACACTAGCACACCAGTGGTAGTACTAATATATCCTCAGTTTGTTAATGAGAAAACTCTAGGTGAGTTTTAAGAGATTTGCTCAAAGTTTTACAGCTTCTCTGCGTCAATGCAGGATTGTATTCCATGTCTGTGTGAGTACAGAGCCCATACCCATATCTGCAGCCACTAAACTCTATCAGGATTTTATAAAAGATACTACATAACATTGGCTTTTCAGTAAAATGTATGAGATTGCAAGCTTTTCTTTTTAGTGTATGTATGTGGAGGGGGGGGTAATGGAGGGGAGCTTGTTTTTAGGATAACTTTAAAATTATGGTCTAAAAACTGGTCTAAATATGTCTCAAATGAACAAGGAAAATAAGTGGCTTATAAATCTTTAATTTATATCAAAATGTAGGGTAATAGTAATATCTTCCTTACCAACATTAATTGTGAAGATCACATGAAAACACAATACAAGTACTTAGTTTAGGCTAAATTCTTTCCCAAAAGATGCCCTTTATCATATATTTCCTTCTTTGTTGCAAGGGATTCTAAAAATTCATTTATTATACTTCTGCCTGAAAAGCCAAAGGGTGACTTACTTAAAGTTCAAGAAAATTTTTCTATTACCAACTCGTCTTTCCTCAAAGGAAAACAGAACAAAACAAAACCAGGCTAATTCCTTAACATCATACACCTTGCCTGACTAGATCTACCTCACTCCCTGCAATAAATGAGGGATTTAATCTGCTAGACAGTATCTCAGAAATGACTAGCAAATCTGAGACTCTTCACTTTTCCCTACGTTTTTTTGGAAATGAAATATTTTGGTAATCAAGGGATACTAATATGAAAATATAAGTAAAGTTGTACGAATAAAAACAATCCTTCCTTAAGGTTTTTCTTATAGTATATGTAAACATGGTGCCTTCTCTTGCATAAATTCAAAAGATCAATTTTACTGAAGTCTGAAAAAAAAATGAAAAGTCTTTCCTTTTCCTACTTTTGTAAGTCAAAATGTGAATAAAAATATTCTAAAGTATCCCAAAATGATTCACTTATATTTATAAGTCATAAAGACTAAAGGTGTTTATTATAATTATCCCTGAAAATAGATCCATAAACAGATAGTTGCTTTTAAAAGATGCTCTCATTCAAGTCAACTGGGTGGATTTAGTCCATGGGTGCATTAAAGTGGGTTTACTCTTCTAAGAATTACCATTACTGTAAGACTGTAGAAAATATGTGTGGCAGCCTGTTCTGGCTTGGGCTAAGGAGCCTATGCAGAGTTCCAAATGGTAAAGGACAAATCTCTTTTATAAAAATTTTATGAAATTTGTCATCATAAAGGATAGAAGATTTAATTTAAAAAAAAAGGGGGGGCGCCTGGGTGGCTCAGTTGGTTAAGCAACTGCCTTCGGCTCAGGTCATGATCCTAGAGTCCCTGGATGAGTCCCGCATCGGGCTCCCTGCTAGGCAGGGAGTCTGCTTCTCCCTCTGACCCTCCCCCCTCTCATGTGCTCTCTCTCTCATTCTCTCTCTCTCAAATAAATAAATAAAATCTTTAAAAAAAATTTAAAAAATTAAAAAAACGGTTTAGGTTTTCAACAAGTATTTCTATCAGAGCTACTGACATCCTTTAGAGCAATTCAACCTGAAAGACAAAGAATGGTCATTATTTTCAAGTCATCTCTTTATGGTTGACTCTTAACATGAAATAATTTGAGGCCAGGGATCACTGGGCAAAATGTTTAAATTGTGTCCATGAAATTGGTGAACACAGAAAATAAAACAGTTCGTTGAACCTTCCTTAAGGTCTGACTCTTCTTAGCTCATTTCAGTTAGCTGGATATTACATTTAGTGAACTAGTCCTATGTCTTGCAATCCACTAAGAGAAGTTGTTCCTAAAAACAAACATTTTCACGTAAAATGTAAAGAGGGAGAGTTACATTTTTGGAATCTTATTTAAAACATTATAGTGCACGTTGATTTTGTATCCTGCAACTTTACTGAGTTCATTTATCAGTTCTAGCAGTTTTCTGGTGGAGTCTTTCAAGTTTTCTATATAGAGTATCATGTCCTCTGCAAATAGTGAAAGTTTGACTTCTTCCTTGTTGATTATGGAAGGTAAGATTTAAGCTTAGGGTTAACTCCTGGATGATTTGTATGTGTCATGTGATTATTTTTATAGCCTTGCCCATGGGCCAGGATTCCTGTCTAGAGATCAGAATAAAACTAATCCCTTTTATTCATTATCATATAAGCATAGGAGAAATTTTTACTGACAATTTACCTTCATCACCACGAGGTTGCTGGGGAAACATGTAGTTAGTCAATACTCTTTGCTTTGTTTCTGGATGGGCTTCAGTTTGTAAAGGGATAAGGGCTTTGGACTAGAAGCAAAGAACATATAAATTAGATTAATAAGATAGCAAATATTAAGAATATTACTTTTATAGAAGATAGTGGTCAATAGTCTGGCCTCACTGAGCTGAATGAACAATTAAAAGAAAGGCAAGGAAAAAAGTAATGACATAAGAAAGGATTTCATGAAATAAGACTATTGCTGAGGAATATTCTCAAATTCTAAGGTCTTCATGCTGAGAGTCTCTTTTTCTCTAGTATACTCTTTTACAAAACCTATTCATCTTCACTGGCAATGTCAGTTTTAATCTTAAAGAGAGCAAGATGTATTAAATTGTTTCAAATAAGTGAGTTTTGGTGTGGTTCTATATGCTCATTCATTTTCACAAGCTGCTGCCCTAAAAAGACAAATGGAAATTGCTATCACATTCATGCCATTGCAAGATCATCTATGAATTTAATTAGGTTAAAACATAAGCATTTTTTAAGAGATATTTTTGTAACCAAAGACAGAGTCTACATAAAAATAAACAGTTGTACTTTTTGTGTCTGCTCTATCAACAATATATTTCTTATGGATAGTAATATTCCATTCTTTATTATTAATTTGATTTTAGAAATATTATTTCTGAAGGGTGTTTTAGAACTCTGATATTATATGCTATATATATAAATATACTATCTATGTAAATATATTGGAAATGATGATACCTAATGTTTAAAAAATCCACTTATTTCATGACATTTATCAACAGGAGTGAAGCACAAAGGGGATTTGGGATACCAACTTGTCTCATGAAACTGAGTCAGAAACACATTAAATCACTGTTCTAAATAAAAGTTAAATGATGCAGTCACTGTTCAGTTCATTCTCCCACAAGAATAATAAATCATGATATTAGTGGATGTTTTTTCATAATGCAAGACTGTAGCATTGACTGATCCATTAGCATAGCTCACATTGAATCCAAAAATGATTTATTTATAATGATATATTAATGCCTTGAAAAATCTATAGTTCATTGATAAAATTTGAATTTGAATGACAATCTAACTTTTTTACTCAGCAGATGGAAGTAAGTGCTATAATGACTGTAGGAATACAAACATTCTAGCACTTACATTTTGTAGAGATTTATTTTATTTTTTCACAAAAGTAGCCCAATACCTAGAAGTCTGAACAATTCATTTACCAATAATGCTGCTTTTATGCTCAGGAAATAATGATAAGAAACTAAATTCAAGATGATTTGTTTTCATTTGGCTATTCATATTTGGGAATAGGTGTTTCAAAATTTTAGGATTATAAGAAAAAAGTAAAAAAGACTAATAAACTATGTCAAAATTGTCTATCACCAGTTTTTCTCTGGTGGCAAATCAGATGTCTTCAACTGTTTCTTGTTATTTTCCTTATTAAAGTTATTCATTAACACTCAATTACTGATTCACTTATAATCTACTTTTATGAGTATAAAAAATAATACCAAACCAATTTCACAGAAAGTACTGACAGCAGTTGCAAAAAATATCTGAAAACTTCTTGTATTAAGTTTTAGAATTAAGTTGATTATAATTAACAGTATAAAAAAACATGTAAGATAATAATTCCCTCTGTGGGAACTGTGTTAATGATTTTTTCTTTACCTTCAGAGATATAATTAGAGAATGTCCCCTGAGGACATACATGTACTACTTAGAAATCAAAAGGTATGAAAATGATCATTTTGTGTGTTAGATCTCTGAGAATGAAGTAGATGTTAAATCAAAGTATTTAAAGAAGGTGGGGATTATAGGACTCAATATATTGTCTGTAGCAATGAAATACATACTTGAATTGCTATCGTTACAAAAATCTCTCTTCTAGAAGATAAAGAATCTATATTTTGTAATAATTGTCAAGGGTATCTATTGGGAATAAGTTAGTAATTCAAAGTTTTAATTAGATTTTATCTTAATAAATAAAATAAATCAGGTAATAAAAGTTTTTACCTGATTGTCAGAAAGCCACAAAGCTGCAAGCTCTTTAAGTTTGGTAAATGAGAATGGTAAATTCTTCAATCTGCAAAAACAAGAAAATTCTAATAGCAGGGGTGAAGATGGATATAGTTCATTTTTATGAAGAATTATTTAAAATAATGTAACTTGTTCATTTCATTCTTCTCTCCAATTCTTTCTCTTCAGTAGTCTGAGCAATCTTTAAAAAGTGAAAATTTCCTGCTTACAACCTTGAAATGCTTCCTATTATATCTAGGATAAAATCCAAAATTGTTAATATGCCTTGTCAAATGTTACAAGATCTGGCCCCCTGGGCCTCTCCAGAAACTTCTGCGACTCTTTTCCTGACTTAAGTCTTCCCAGTGCCACTGACAGGCCTTCTATTAGCCCACTATGAGGATTAGCCAAACTTTTCTCTCTGTCTGAAATATTCTTTCTCCCCAACTTCACTAAACTAAATCCCACATGTCCTTTAGTTCTCACCTTGAATGTCATTGTCTCAAAGAGGCTTTTCCTGACTCTTCATTTAAAGTACTTTCCCCAATGTAGTCTCAAAGCACCTTATATTTTCTTTGATGGAACATACCATAGTTTATAGTTATATATTTATTTTTGTGATTACTTTTTTTACTGGCTGATATCCCCACAAAACTGTTGCCTCAGTGATGGGAAGGGGTCATGTCTGTCACACTGCTAAAGGTATCTACAGCTCCCAATGTTACGTTGACTCCCGAAAGTGTGTCCTTTTGTTCTCTCACCCTTTGTATATTGTGTAGTAAATATTCCAAGAGGGAATCTTAAAAAATGCATTTTGACGTACATGAAGTTTGGCATCAGCTTTGGTATTCAGTCGAAATGATCTAGTTTTGGCTTCAGCCTTTGGAGGACCAAATCGCCAAATGCCTATTTAAACATGCTATCTGATATCCCTGAGATTGTGCATGATGAATGAATTGTGATTACATAGGTTACCATCATAACTACTCAGCAAAGTGCTAATACAATCAAGGCATGCTGATGGATTTATTGTTAATTTCTGCATATTCACTTTTGAATATAGATACACATTTTAGATAGAACTTGGAATAAAAATTTCAGGAACTCTTTCAGCCAACTGATGAGTACATATATTTTGATAATGGAAATGGAAAATGTTACAATAATTCATAAAGATTATGGAAGTAGTTTAATGTGTAAAAGCAGTTAAACATTTTCAAATAATTTAATAAGTATGAAAAGATATTGACAGCCAATACAAATATCAACAGTGTGTGTTAACCAGATAACTTTGGGAAGAATATAATAACCTCTCTGAGCTCATAAATATTTATAAAACATAAATAAGAATATAAAGAGTAACAGAAACTAGCATATCATAATTCTCTTTTTATAGAGTAATTTGTTATATTAGTATTTATAACATGAAACCAAATTACATAAAAACTGTTTGTAGTTTTTAGTTATTTAATTCCATTTAAGCCAGGAATTATGAAGTAAGGTCTTATGGGAAGAATTTCTCACATTGTATGGAGGTGAATTAAAAGCAGAATATCAATTCTGCCACCTCAAAATTACATGAGATTTCCAGAATCATATCAATAAATGTATGATAAATCATCATCAATTCAGTTATAAATATTGAGTATAAAGAAAAGAAAGAAACTGTTAGAGAAGGATGAGTTACACTCATTTCTCCTTGCTTCCAGTAACCTGCATTGAAAGTGAGCCTCTGTTTAATATCACAAATGTGCAATAAATTGACCATAGAAGCAATCTTGCATTTGACAGTGCAAAGGAATAATTGTTCCTAAACTATAATACCAAACTTTTAAAATCTATCCCATTATAAATATGAAATTGTGATAGTCAAGACATTTGGATAACATCTCATATTTAATATTTTATCCAGGCAGTTCTTTCTCTGATAGTAATATTCAATTTTGGCCTCAGCTTTGGCTGAATATTAATTTTAACTGTAGGCTAAGATGCACTGATTAATTCATTAATTAAAAAATATTAATTTGGCTCTATACTATGTTCCAGTCACTGTACTAGGAGAGAAATTAAGTTCCTGATATTGCGAGATTCTCAATGTCTTACTCATATCTTTTACTCTAGCATCTAGCAATATGTCTGTCCCATGGTAGTTACTGAAGTATCCTTTATTTGTTGAATAAATAACTTCATTAGTAGCCCTTCTACTTTCTTACACCATACCCAAAAATGAACTCAAAATGGATCAAAGACTTAAATGTGAGGCCTGAAACCATTAAACTCCTAGAAGAAAACAGGCAGTAATTTCCTTGACATCAGCTATAGAAACATTTTTCTAAATAGTGTCCTCAGGCAAGAGAAACAAAAGCACAATTAAACTATTGGGACTACACCAAAATAAAAAACTTCTGCACAGTGAAAGAAACCATCAACAAAACAAAAAAAGCAGCCTACTGAACGGAAGAAGATATTTGCAAATGATATACCTGATAAGGGGTTAATATCAAAAATATATAAAATATATAAAGAACTTCAACAACTCAACACCCAAGTACTAGGAGTACTTCTAATTATGGGTCATTTTAAATATTTGATAAGCATATTTTCTATATCATCATGCAGATTATTAATGAATAAAAGTTGAGTGGACTAAGAATTTAAGAGACTTCTATAACTCATCATGAAAACCTCCCACCAAGTTAACAGTAATGGAGTTTAGTTCTGTTGGGGATTGTAATGGAATCTACTGAGAATCCATCTTCTTATGATATCTCCATGACCATATTTCCTAACCTTATTCATAAGAATATTAATTAGAACATTTTGAAAAATGTTTTGCTGAAAGTTAGCAACATTCAACGCATTTCCCTCATTTTCCTGTCTGGTGACTCAGTCAAAACAGGAGATGAGGTTGGTTTGATATGACTTACTCTTGTACCAAGCTGTGAAGCTTCCTTGTCATCTTGATTTTAAGAACGAAATCCCAAACCTTTTAATAAAATGTTTTATTCTCTTACGTGGGAGTATTATTGAATTACTAAGAGAATAGTCTTTGAAAGCCACATTATTATTATGATTTGTCTTAAACAAACGAGAACTCGTACACTTATCTTGAAACTTACAGATCTGAATATTCTTAATGATCCATAAAAGTCATCTTTGACAGTTTTGTTCAGTCTCTCAGTTTCTTGTTCTATCATTTGTCTGACTGAAACTTATTGAAAACAGAGTTCATACATTCTATTCTGTAATCACTTTGTCTACTTAGCAGTTCTCTTCAGTCAATATTTATTTTTATCCTTTCTTATTTGAGAACAATTGTGGAAAAAAGATGAATTCAGTTTCGCTTTTTCTTTTTGCCTATCCACCACTATAACACCTTTGTCACAAGAAGAGCACCTACCTTTTCTTTCTTTCTTTCTTTCTTTTTTTTTGTCCTGCTTTGAACATGACTAAATAACCATTTGGTTGTCCTTACAATAATGTACAAACTTTATGACTTTTGAGTATTAGCTAATTGGCAATATTCTTACCAGGATTCTGGTGGTGTTGACAACACACCCATTGCCCAGTTAATTTACTGGAGACATAAATGTGTACATGAAAACATATATATATGCATACATACATACATACATACTTATATACATGATTTTAATTAATACATTTTGTAGCTTTTTATTATAATTTTTTCAGGTCTTCATAATATTATGCTTTCTGCATATAGGATGGTTTGGTATATAAATTTGGGTGTATAAATTTTATATAATTTAAACACACAACATAATATATGATCTGAATTTAATCAAATAATAAAATTCAGAAATATCAGTTTATAAATAATTTAGCTTCTGCCATTTTCTCAATAAAACATTGATCTGCATTCTATATACTTCATAAGACACAGAAAATGTTTCTAAAATAATTAACAAGAAACAATAGTTTGCTTTCAGTAAATAATTAATATGTGATTGTGAAATGTTGCAGAAATACCTGTTGTCACTCAAATTTAAGACTCTTAGCTTCTGCATCTGTCCAATCTCTTCAGGAAGAAATTCCAGTTTATTGGAACGTAGAGACATTACTGTTACATTCTTACAGCTTCCAATCTATGGGTAACAAAAGAAAGTAAGTAAAGAAATACACGGTAAACTATTTTTATATTAATTTTTAATATTAAAATAACTTAATTTACAGATTTCCTTATCACTTTTAAGACTCTCTTAATATGTCTACTGCTTTATTTTTTATAATCTCTCTTTAAAATATGTGTATATATTATATATATATTCCTTTAGATGTTAAGACAACATATATCTCATATTCTTTTGCATATTAGGAAGAATTTTCTTTATAATTTTATTATTAGAATGCTCATTAGCTTCATTGTTTTCATAAATAACATTGTTTTTACAGTCCATCCAAGTAAGTACTAATATATTTATGTTTCTAATAGATCACTCAAACACAAAAGATAAAATATTGTTGACATTTTCATAGCCAAGTTAGTTTTATTTCGTGTTACAATGATACTTCTCATGTTTATTCATAACTTTTGGCTCTAAAATAATGACATATTGACTATTGTTCCTTCATTGTGGAAATGTTTAGTAGAAAATGCTAAATTGAAAATATACTTCACATTTTTTTCTTGACAATAAATAAAAATTCCACTTAGAAATAAAAACTAACCTTTTGGTGAATTCTAAAATAAAAATAATATTATCACACCACATGATACTTTAAAAAAAGCTATTTACATTAAAAATCTTTCACTTCAGAAATGGAAATGTAATTATCCCAGAATGTTACTTATTATTGTTCATAAAAGCAAAATATTTAAATTAAATTACTTAAAATTATATTCCTTAGCATTGATTAACTTACAATATTTTATTACTTTTCTTTGCAAGTAATGTTTAAGTAAAATGGATTTTCTGGGTCAAAGAACTTATCACTTATTATTTAAAAAAGAATAATTAACACATACATATGTAGATGTTTCCTATATACATTGACAGCTCAACTCACGAATCTATGTTGTCATTGCACCTGTTAAGACTTAATCCCAAAACATATTCATTAAAAGTTAATTAACAGAAACAAGTTTATTCCTCACTTCTCGGGGTAATTCTGGAAGGAAATTCTCATCGACTGCTAATGTTCGAAGACTATGAAGGTAGCCAATAGTAGAAGGTAGAGACTCCAGTTCATTACAGCTGCAGTCAAATTCTTCCAATAAAGATAAACTGAAAAGTTAAATACATTAGTTAGACATATTAAAAGGCAAAATGGAGAAAGAGCTTTTAAAAAGCCACATATCCAAGTTCACTGAACAAAAAACCTTATTCATCTAGTGACAACAGTATCATATAAATTATTTTATCAGTTCAGCCAAGTGGTTCAATACCATTTAATGAGTGGTTCAATTTAGTAAAATAAATATGGCTTATTTTTTCCCTTTCTAAACTCCCCTGCCATTTAACTGAGCCATTGAAAATGACAGAAGGTTTTGTTTGTTTGTTTTTATACAACTAAAGTGCCATTTATAGCCTGATGTTCATAATGCATATCTTTGGAATGGACGCATATAACTGGCATTGCAGAGGTATGTGGAGGGCAGATCCACAAAAGGGAAGATAAAGGGGGCAAAGCATTAACAACAAATCATTACAGTTTAGGTATTTTACTAAGCATTTTAAAGATAGAAATAACTAATCTTTACCTTATGACAACTCTATAATATAGTTATTATTTTTAAACCCATTTTACAGATAAGGAAATCGAGGTCTTCAGAGGCTAAATAACTTGCCCAAGGCCACACAAAGTAGGAAAGCTGCACACAGTATGCCTCCTCTGTATTTTCCTGCCTCTTAGTCAGGGCGTCTGTAGCAGAGGTTACGGACAGGGCTCATTTCAGCCTGCAGATATGTTTGGTTTGGTTTACATAGTATTTTATTTTATTTTATTTTGTTTTTTTAAAGACTGATTTATTCATTTTAGAGGGAGAGAGAGCAGTGGGGAGGAGCAGATGGAGCGAATCTCAAGTAGACTCTACACTGAGTGCAGAGCCTGATGCAGGGCTCAATCTCACGACCCTGAGATCATGACCTGAGCCGAAACCAAGGGTCAGATGCTTAACTGACTGAACCACCCGGGCACCCCTACATAGTATTTTAAAGCGTGGTAAACTCTACATAATGACCTAGGCTTTTGGTGCCTCTTGAAAGAGGGAAATCTGGCAATCCCGGGCTGTGATTCTTCCATGATGAGCAACAGAAACGGAGTAATGGGCGCTGCCTTCTCATGAACACAGTTCTGTAGTTTTTCACAATCCTTACTTCTCCATGTATAGCCAGTTTTAACCCAGACTTAGAACCAGAAATTGTATAAATGCACATTTCATGTTTTCACCAGGGTACAAGACATTTCAATATCTGGTTTGAGGTAGCTGAGAAAGAAAGACGGCCTGTCACTGAGGGAGCACTATCTGTAGTTAAGTTGTCATTGATGTTGTTGTTAATATTATTACACTGCTATTACCATTCACATCATCATTATTACTGTAATAGGAAGGAACCCCCAAGTGTGAGGATCTTGCTGTTGTAAAGGGAAGAATGAATTAGAGTTAGTGGGAGTTAGAGCTGTAGCATCAGCTTCCTTTTTTTACGTCTTGGAACTAGTTGGCTGGAATGCAATTTACTGCCATCATTTAGTTAATGGGTAAACACAGAAATTAAGCATATAGGTTTTAAGTCAATTAGAATGGATTTGTGCCTCAGCTCTGTCACTTACTAGGTAGATGTGTTATCTTGGGTATCAAACAATAAAACAACGACTACAGCTCAAAAACCAAAGCTGATTTTATTTACCTACCAGGCAAAGGAACATACCAGGGAAGAAATTCACTGAGTAGTGCTCCGAAGGGGAAGAGTCAGTGCCAAGAGGGGGTGGTCACAGTGGAATACGCCCATTAAAGATTAAACATTTGCAGTATGGAGAGGGTGGAATGAATTCACAAGTCTGTGTACAGTTAAGTAAATCAAGTCCCATTAACCACGGGTCAGGAAAGAATAATTTGGTAGGTCGAGTCTGACCCTGACTAAGGTAACTCATGGTTCATGGTCCTTACCGGCTTCAACTGGTTATAACCAGATGCAGTGAAACACGGCATTCAGCTTTGAATAATATCTCGTAAGCAAATGCTGCTTTAGTGAACAATTCTCCTTTTACATAGATAAGGCATATAACTTTTTCTCTGAGCCTTAGTTTCTTTACATTTGCAAAGAGGATACTAATAATTCTGACAGCATCCAGTTGCTCTGAGTATTTTATGAAATACTGTTAAGAATTTAGCCCAGGACCTGCCATAAAATACATGCTCAGGGAATATTTTCTCTTTGTATTAGTGAACCCTGATAAATTCATTTCTAAATCCTTTGAGGCCCCCATATGCAGGGGTGGTTATGTTGCAGGGTGCCAGGCACGTATGGCTGTGTGTGCATGTGTGCGTGTGCGTGTGCGTGTGCGTGTGTGTGGTGTGTTGGTGGGGGCAGGAATCAATGTATGTGTGAAACCCAGTAACAGTTTGTTTCTAAAAAATATGTCTAGCCCAGTGCCTTACGTATATAATGTACTTAATAAATTTGATAGAATTGAATAAACCATCTGTCAATGGTTTAGGGTAATGTACTCAGCATGTGGTCATAAAAGTACTGGAGACTTTTAAAAATAAAAATTTCAGATGTATGTTCAGAGGTAGAAGTCAAAGACTTAAACAGTTCAAATATAATGGAGGTTTCTCATTTTTCCTTTCTTTTATAAAAACATTCTTTAAAATAAAAACATGTTTTGAGGTTAATCTTGACTCACAGTAAAGCAGCCCTTACTTTGCATTGTTCTGATATGAACACATTTCAGTCATCATGGTTTCATTAAATAACATTATCCCCCCATCACCAACGCTCAAACTTCTATATATTAACTGTGAGTAACTGCATAAAACATAGATTTCACTCTTAACTCTGGGGCCCACAAATCACAGTGTAAATAGCAGATGCGCATCATGATCAGCAACTGTCACATTCCTTCTTTCTAAGGCTGTCAGCGATTTGTCCCTAGACATCTGTCATCCCATTAAAACCACAAACAGTACCTCATGCCGTTGTTTTGCCTTCTTGTCAATCAGTAGAGAGATATTGTAAGTATAATAATTTAATATTTATAGCACTATTACTGTTGGAAAATGCTCTTGGTCTCCCTAATTGTCTTGGTGATTTAAATGAAAATGTGAAAACTTGCTTTTTATCACCAAGGACAACTTCATTAACCCTGCCAATGGACCAAGGAGTTATTTCAACTTTGAAAGCCTATCTTACACAGACTTTTGAATAGGCTATCAATGCTACAGCTGGAAATCATACAATGTCTTTAGCTGAGTTTTGGAAGAAATATGACATAAAGCGTACAAATGAAAATTTGCAAGCATCATGGCAGGAAGTCACAGCAAGTGATACGCGTGCATTACAACAGAAACTTACACCACACAGTGCAAACAACTTTGCAGGGCCTGGACAAACATAACTAGAGCTACCGAAGAAATAGCTGACTGTGGGGATGTTGCCTGCCACTCTTCATGGGACCCTCCCTACGCTGCCAGAGGAACTTAGCAGCAAGCTTATTGACATAAATGAGGGAAGTGGTTGTAATGCAAAGGATGAAGACGACTTAGAGGAAGTGACACTGGTAATAAACTTCACATTAAAGGAACTCTCAGGGAGGCCCCTGGGTGGCTCAGTTGGTTAAGCGTCTGCCTTCTGCTCAGGTCATGATCCCAGGGACATGGGATTGAGCCCCATAT